CCAGGTTTTGTACCTATACCAGACAAATGTAGAGACAACTGTATCTGACTATGGCTTCGAATTTCATTGCAATCCCTTTTTGGCATCTTGAACATTATGTCCTGTTTTACTGTACTGGTCACAAATCAACCGCAATCCTGAAAGACTGCCTAGACCCATGCTTAACACATTTTTGTTTCCATACGTTTAGACTGTGATATTTGTTTTCCTAAAGCTCAAATTACAATAGCACCTTTCATAGCACTCATGGTAACATCCCTCACTGCATTGATTATAGTGAAGACAGGCAGTTGCCCTAAGCAGGAGATGGGTTACAGTGGCTATTTCCAAGAAATAGGGAATATGTGGTACTGCCCATTTGAAGATAGAGACAGAGAGAATTAATTATTGCTAAAAACCACCGCCTTGCCCAGTGGGAGGCAATTGATGCTGGCGTGTGAGTATTCCACTTTGTCATTGATAAAGTCTCCCCTTGCCTGAATTTGATTTTTTGCAAATCAGAAATATTAAAGCCCTTAATAAAAGTCTTATTACTACCTCACAGTCTTGGTTTCACCTGAAACTTGCTGTTAAACAATACGAAGACGCGTTCTTCAAACAAACATTGACATCTCTCCCCTCACAGATTATGCCAATCCCGTTCCTCTTCCCGCTGTTTAGTAAGTCCGCTGCTTCACTCCAGGCAAAGTACTTTGTACGTCCAGGCAACATACTTGAGAATATTAATTCAATTTGCCTTATAAGCAACTGTCGCAGTAGACATTAGCCTTTCCATGCTCTCTAGGTTCTTCAATACAGTTGCTACCAACTTTCGCTTAATCATTGCACTCACTCTTTTGACTTTGACACCTCTATGTCTTCCAGTCAGGCTGGCTCATCACTTTCCATTCTAAAGATCACAAGGCCCGACTAATTGTCCTATAAGAAAAGGCTTCCCTGCCCCGGATTATTCAACGCCATCGATGGTGTCACATCATATCTATTTGATATCACCTCAGTGATGAGCTTGATGCTTAGCGATTATGAGTGTTTCTAGAATTAAAGGAACGTTCCATGCAGTTCACTCAATTACTGGTACGTTATATTCCAGTAGTAATGCAGTTCTCTTCATAAGGCCATTTCCCTGGACCATATACTTACCAGGTATGTCGGAGTGACCTTTACTGAGTGCTGACCGGCTTTGATCACGTGACCTGAGATGGCGAAACGACTCGATGACGTCATGTCCCGCCTGGGGACCGGCCGCTGGAACCTCCTGCACATCATCTCCCTCTCTTACTGTAAGTTGCAAATGCGGGAAAAGATCACAAAGAATAAATAAACAAAACAAAGAAAGGACCGTTTGGACCTTGCTTTCACTTTGGATCGAAATTTCGAGTTGACGCCGTTAATCTCTGGCGCATCTTTTCCGCTCTCTTTTACATCGTGTACTTTTTTTCTTCTTTTTACAGCTTGCCACAGGGAAACATTTGTATGTGTGTGTGTGTGTGTGCTTGTTGTATATGTATATATATGAGACAGTATAAGGAGGGGACGATACCTTTCCTGTAGAACTTACCGCGATCATATATCATACGAAAATATATAATAAATTGGCACTCTCCCCTTCTCCCTGAGGCTTTTCTCTGACCACATACCACACCCTGGGCGGCGCCTTCCTCGCTCCCCGAGTGGACTACACCTGCCGCCCGCCCGAGGGCGCCCACGACGCGACCGCCGCCCGCGCCGCCTCGACGCTGTTCATCCCCGGCGGCGGCAACACTTCGAAGGAAGCTAAGTAAGAGACACGGCTGGTGTTTTACGCCACTTTATGTTTAAAAGTAAAAAGAAGAGTTATTCATCAGAGACGAACAAAACTCCATCTAACTAAACGCCTGCCCCCCTCCCCCTCTCCCCCAGACCCGAGTGCAGTTACTTCGTTCTGAACTCGTCCTCGGGCCAGGTCGAGGAGGAGGAATGCGCCGAGTGGGACTTCGACAACTCCACCTTCAGCTCCACCGTCGGCAGTGAGGTAGACTTTTAACTAGACACAAAATCAATATCTTAAAGAACTCGAAACTTCACAACTTTATTTCGTTTCTGTTATGAGTGTTCAATTCTAATTGTTTGTCCATGTTACTGTGTTTGTGCTCGTAACTACATACATATACATATATAGATAGATATATTGATAGATAGGTAGACAAATAGATGGATAAATAGAGAAAGAGACAGACAGAGTTAGACAGACAGACGGATAGATGGACAGATAGACAGACAGACAGACAGAAATACACACTCACACACATACACACACACACACGCACGCACACACACACACACACACACACACACACACACACACACACACACACGCACACACACACACACACACACACACACAGACGGACAGATGGACAGACAGACAGACAAGCGGACAGACATTCATCAACATTCATGTTCATGAATTTCACAAGCACAGGGAAAGAGAGACACGGACACGAATATGCAGAATATGTAAGTCATATGTATCCACTATAGTTTCAGCTTGCCTGCGGGTGGGAGTATCTCCGCTCGACGTACCAGAGCATCTACATGTTCGGCGTCACGATCGGGGCGCCGTTTAACGGGGTTCTGGCCGACAGGTAAGCGGCTCTCGTTTGGAACTGCCTGGTGGGCGGGCCTGGTCCTTTACTCTGTGTGTGTGTGTGTGTGTGTGTGTGTGTGTGTGTGTGTGTGTGTGTGTGTGTGTGTGTGTGTGTGTGTGTGTGTGTGTGTGTGTGTGTGTGTGGAAAGGGAAATCTAATGTCATCAGGCTTATATTGCACAAGGAGTACCAGACTGGGATCACAATAACTTAGAAAACTACTGGTTCAACAGGTACGGGCGGAAGATGACGGTGGGCGTGGGTTTCGTCGCCTACGCCGCCCTGGCCATCGGCTCCTGCTGGATCCCCAACCTCTCGGCTCTCCTGTTCTCGCGTTTCCTCATGGGCGCCGTCCACCCCACGATACAGAAGACGGGATACATTCTAGGTGAGGGGTAGCGGGGGCGGGGGAAAGGGAACAGGTAGAGAAGGAGGGGAGAAGTTATGGGAGGAAGAGGAGAGAGAGAGAGTGAGAGAGAGAGAGAGAGAGAGAGAGAGAGAGAGAGAGAGAGAGAGAGAGAGAGAGAGAGAGAGAGAGAGAGAGAGAGGGAGGGAGAGAGAGAGAGAGATAGATAGATAGATAGATAGAGAGAGAGAGAGAGAGAGAGAGTAAAAGAGAAAGAGAGAGAGAGAGAGAGAGAGAGAGAGAGAGAGAATATGAAAGAGAAAGAGAGAGAGAGAAAGAGAGAGAGAGAGAGAGAGAGAGAGAGAGAGAGAGAGAGAGAGAGAGAGAGAGAGAGAGAGAGAGAGAGAGAGAGAAGAGAGAGAGAGAGAGAGAGAGAGAGAGAGAGAGAGAGAGAGAGAGAAAGAGAAAGAGAGAGAGAGAGAGAGAGAGAGAGAGAGAGAGAGAGAGAGAGAGAGAGAGAAAGAGAAAGAGAGAGAGAGAGAAAGATTATGAAAGAGAAAGAGAGAGAGAGAGAGAAAGAATATGAAAGAGAAAGAGAGAGAGAGAGTATAAAACCTCAGAGTATAATTCATTTCCCCAGGCATGGAGGTCGCGGATCCCAAGTGGCGCACGCATATCGGCATTGTTTTGTTCCTGCCGTGGGCGCTCGGTCTCATTGCGTGGGGCGGCTTCGCTTATCTCGTCCGTGAATGGCGGATGCTGCAGCTGACGGTGTCTTTGCTGTGCCTGGTGTTCTTGCCTACCCTATGGTCAGTTTCGATGAGGTTTCTGTGTCACTCGTTATTTTCTCTCTCTCTCTCTCTCTCTCTCTCTCTCTCTCTCTCTCTCTCTCTCTCTCTCTCTCTCTCTCTCTCCTCTCTCTCTCTCTCCTCTCTCTCTCTCTCTCTCTCTCTCTCTCTCTCTCTCTCTCTCTCTCTCTCTCTCTCTCTCTCTCTCTCTCTCTCTCTCTCTCTCTCTTTTATCGTATACTCTTACTTGAGAGTAATTTGTCTCGTTACGCATTACCTTTCTCCCTCTCTCTCTCTCTATCTATCTATCTATATATCTATCTATCTATCTATCTCACTATCTATCTATCTATCTATCTATCTTTATCTATCTATCTATCCATCTATCTATCTATCTATCTTTATATATCTATACTCTGATTTGAGAGTAATTTGTCTCGTTTCGCCCATTCAAGTCCACCTAATCCATCTAAACCGAACTTGAACATATGTTGAAATAGTCACGATCTTTTCTCCACCTTGCTTCGCTCTATCCACCTCCTCCACCCATTCCGCAAATGTCCTATCTCACGTGGACTTTTTTTTCTGTAATTTTTACCATCCGTCGTGAATTTGAACTTTTCCAGGCATTTTTTTTTTCTTTTCTTTTTTTCTTTTTTTGGCAGCGACCTTTGATTAAATTCTCGTCTTGATCGTGTTGTCTGGAGGATCTCTGCTACTATATTGTTTTATTAACATGGAATAAACGATATGTAATCAGTGCTGTCAGATCCGTTTTACTGTACGGTAATCTCATTTACTTAGTTTATATTTATTCAGTATAAGGTGATAGGTAGGAGGATGCTCGTGTGATTCCTAGATTACTTTTCGAACTTGGTTAGTTTTCGTACCATTTTTCTTCTTTCTTCGGCGCCAAATTCGTTTGTATAGGAGCGTTCGCGTAGAAACCGAGACGGTGGTTCTCTGTCAGCGTTCACACGGGAGCGCAGTTGGCGGAAAAGTGCTGGTGTGGTAGTACCTTAACTTCTTTCTTCGTCAGCGTCTTCTTCTCCTTTTCTTTACTCCTCCTTTCCTACAATCCCTTTTTCCTCTTTCTCCTCTTCTTTATCCCCTTCTTCTTTCCACTTATCCTAATCGTTAACTCACTTTTTAACCTTTCCGACACAATACTTTATCATAGTGCGCTATGACTTTTGATGCCTAGCACATTTACCTGTTTCAACCACTGATCATTAACCAT